GTAGAAAGCTGCCCTTTGGAGCTCGGAAAACAACTCCTACAGGCTGCTGTGAATGTTTTCCCTCAACAGAAGGAAAATTTCCAGAATTTGGGGGTTGACTCCAGCTTAATTTTCTAATGTATCATATTTAAACAAAACTCCTGTCAAGCCCTGACATTTAGTCCTACCAGGAGGTCAAGCCCCCTCTCTGTTCCCCCACCCCCTGCAAGGTCACCAGCACAAAAGGAAGCACTCAGCATATCCTGTTCTTTAAAAAAAATTGTAAAAATCCCGGAGCAGTTTAATGTTTCGTTTGAAGAAGCACAAGCTTCTGGTGTGCAAAAGGCACCTGACAGAGGGGAGCAATGAGGGCAGAGCCAAAACCCTGAACATCTCTCTGGCATCCACGAGGTCCCTGCGCAGAATAGTATCTTTTATGGGTTCAGTGGACATTAGGTCGACTCTGTAAACACTTCTTCACACAGGTTGTGGAGCAAAACAGCTGCCTGGCAGGAAATAAAGTCTGCACGGCCCGGCTCCCGTGCGAGGGAGGCGCGGGATGCCCTGCACTGCCCGAGCACCGCACACACGGCAGGAAAACCGACCCCAAAGCATCCACAGACGATATGGATTTCACTCGTGACTCAAAAAAGCAGCGGATATCAGCGAGTGTGTGTGGAGCGGAATGCCGAACTCGGCTGCCTGAGGCTCCAGGCGCAGGCAGGGCACACACAAGCCCAGCACGTTGTGCCGGCGGGGCAGCTACCCACCCCCCTGTCCTGCATCTCATCCCCCTGTCCTGCATCCCACCGCCGTGCCCGGCACCCTTCCTCCTTGCCCGGCACCTCCATTTCAGCGAACACCCCCCGCCCTGCCTCGCTCGCGTCCTTAATTACATCCCAAACACATCCCACGGAAGCCCCTCCGCTGTCGGCGCGGGGCGAAGCCGCCTGTCACCATGACATTGCAACACGCCCGAGCGGCGCCTTCATTCCTGCCGCGGGGGTCCCCGCAGCCGCGCCCCGCATTCCTGCACAGCCCCGCACGGCTCGCAGCCCGCGGCCGGGCATCCCCATCCCGCGGCGCTCCGGGCGGACACAAAGGCTTGCTGGCGGTACCCACCTCTCCTCCTCCATTGTGCGGGGCGGCGGCGGGGCCGGCTCAGCGCCCCGGGCCCGGCATGGCTGCGAGCGGCCGCCCCCGGCATCCATCCCCCGCCGGGCCCGGCATCCATCCCCCGCCCGCGCTGCCGCCACCGGGACCTGTCCCCGCGCGGCCCAGACTGCTGCAGTCCCCGCGATCTGCCGGCTGCACAGAAGTTTTAGCGGCTGCACACCCCCAGTGCCCAGGTCGAGCCCGCGCACAGGGCAGCGCAGGTGAGGAAGGAGAGTCCCGGCGCTCCGAAGTCTCCCCATTCCCACCGCAGAAAGCAGGGTCTCACCTCCAGTCCCCCAGTTCATCAGAACCTTCCTGTCCTTTATGCAATCTATCAAACGCACCCTGCACAGGCAATATAGGTCCTTCTCCACTGCAGGTGCAATTTAGCCTAAAGCACTGAACTAAATTACATTTGTTTTATTCCAATTGATACAAATGCACAGAGTTCTACCTTCTATCTTCTTTCCCACCCCCGCCCATCCCCCCATTTTATTAAAAGAATTTTTCAGTTGTATTCTGCACCACTGAGGCCTTAGAGGTTAATTGTATTAAAGACAAGAAACATTTTCCTTCTTCATTACTCATCCATTCACAAAATGTTCTTGTGCAAAAGGAAGAGAGAACTAGAAGTATCAAGAGATTTCTCTTTGAAGATGCCATTTCATTTTGTAAATAAATTACCTCACTCTTGTATGTTTCTCCTCAAGCCATGTCCTCAGCCCAGGTTTCATACATTTTTTTCAAACCTTTCAGCAATGATGAACAGATGCTATTGTGCCTTCCACAGGAGGGTTTCAAAAGCTTGTTGAGAATCTTAACTACTCATCACCTTATTTCTTCAGGTAAGAAAACTTAACACACCTGAAACTTACAGGACTTTATCAAAGACACAGGGGGATTGAGTCCTGCTATTTAAACACCATTTGGCAGCCTACCCCTAAACAGAAGAAATACAGATAAAGCCATGAAGTCAAACTTCACACAGAATTCAGGTAAAATTCCTTCATTTTCCCTAGAGAATCCTGTTAAACTATCAGTTTAACACATCCAGTTCCTCAATACTGTCCCCATGTCCAGTCTTACAATGTTGATGCACAACATGCAAAACTGCAAGACACAAGCTCAAACCAGAGAAAAAGGAACTATATAAAAATAGTAGAATTTACCTTGGAAATGAGGGCTAGAGCTTGTTTCCTCTGAGTAAATTCCTCAGTAATCACAAAAAGTCCAGATACAAAACCATGTCCTGAAACCACTGCAAAGTGCCTATGTATTTTTATTAACACAAAGTTTTTCAATAACAAAATATTAGGCTTTCACCTTAAAAATTTACATCTCATACCAGTCAACCTGGGAGCTAAGCACCTCAATGGAACCAAACAGCAATACCTGCTTACATGCTTTGCCCCACAGGTTTGTGTACCCCTGGATTCTACAAATCCTGAAAGGTACAGTGACAGACGAGCAAAACAGTGAGTAGTCCTTGCTGGAGTATAACAAAAGCACGTTCCAGCAACCAGAGATTATCTTTACAGCAGCCTTGCAAAATAATCATGACTTGGTAACAACCCCAAGGCAAAAAACTTCTTGTTTGTTTTTAAGGGCAAAGACTGGTATCTTGAAAAAGCATTCAGCTAAAAGGAATTAGTGACACCTGATGGGTGGAATCTTACCTACCTTAGACATTGACAACCATATAACCAATTCTCAGAGTAGAAAGGTCCCCAAAACACAAATTCCAGCCAGTCCCATCATCCCTCAGCCCATCAATAACTTCGCAGATTTCTGTGACAATCTTCAGATCTACCAAATCTCCCCATTTCAAGGAGCCACAGGGAGACAGGAGAGAAAAGCATTGCCAGTGTCTCCACAGCAGCAAGGAATTTCTTCAATAAAACTGGCATGAAGGGAGGGAATAAAAACAGTCCCTACCAATCTGATCCAAAACTCTCCCCTGGCCCAAAATCCAGCAGCTGGTTTAATGCTGAGGTTATGAGGAAAGGATACCAAGTGCTTACGAGAATTTAATTTAATTTAATTGTGAAGAGCCCCAATACAATCAGCACCTTGTCAATCTCCACAGCCTCTGCAGAAGCCTGAAAGGTCACTTTGCCTTCCAAAAACCCAGCAGAAAGCAAATGGCATCAAATTGGGAAAAATCCTTCCTAGTTCTGCAAGGCAGACTGCAGGAGTTGTGAATCACTGGATCATCCAGCCTGAATACGGTGCAAACAACAATTCAGGAACACTTCAGTCCCCAGTACATACCTGTTTCCAGGTATATACCAATGTTCAGGCTTCTGAGACCCATATCAAGCAATTTCCTATCTATGGCAGCTCTCCTGCTTAGTTGCATAATCTCTTCCATGAAATTATTAATCAACTTCCTTCAAAAATCTATGGTTTCAATATGGAAGAGCTGGGAAAGGTGTAAATAAAACACTGCATTCACAGAAGCTTCTAAAGCTGCACCTTCACAACCTAAATTATTTTTCATTCTGTTTTGGGTTTTTTTGAGATCTAGATATTTAGATAAAAATATATGTTGATAGATATAAATATATTTATATTTATTAATGCATATATTAACTATATATATATTTATCTTTGAGTGACCAAACTGATCTCACCCTAAAGCCTGTCCTGCTTTGAGGGTTCTTTGGACCAGATCAGCTCCAGGAGTGTCTTCCAAATAAACTTATTTTGTCATCCCAATTAAGTAGACATTCATTTAGACAGATCTGTATTTAGACCATATGTTTTATTGGAAAAGGTTCTGTAAGGATTTTAATATAAGAAAAGCAATATATAGGGGATCTGCTGGAATAGCTGCCTTGGTAGCTCCAGGCCAGTTGCAGTCACTTGGCGGTGGCACTCAGGTACTGGCTCCCAAGGCACCCGGAGATGGAGGTGCCTCAGCAGAGGAGTCCTGAGGGTATCTGGTATCTGCTGCCCTGCTGCTGCTAGAACTCAGCAACAAAACCAAATCAGCACTACAATTTACCTGCTGCAGCAGCTCAGGAATTCAAGTTCTCACAAGGCTCAAAAGGATGCTCTGGGAGACTCTGAGGTAAGGATCTTCCCAGGGCTGGAGCCAGGGATGCCCTGGCAGCTGAAGCAGTGAGAGACTCCCACCGGAGCGCTGTTTTCTGAAGCTGTGGTTGGCAGAGCAGAGGCTGGAGCAGCCAGGCCAGCATTCCCCCGGGACGTGCATCCCCCGGGATGTGCATCCCCCGGGATGTGTATTCCCTCCCACCCTGGGACGTGCATTCTCCCCCCCGGGACGTGCATTCCCCCCCGGGACGTGCATTCTCCCCCGGGACGTGCATTCTCCCCCGGGACGTGCATCCCCCCGGGATGAGCATCCCCCGGGATGTGCATTCTCCCCCGGGATGTGCATCCCCCCCGGACGTGCATCCCCCCGGGACGTGCATCCCCCCGGGACGTGCATCCCCCCCGGGACGTGCATCCCCCCGGGATGAGCATCCCCCGGGATGTGCATTCTCCCCCGGGATGTGCATCCCCCCCGGACGTGCATCCCCCCGGGACGTGCATCCCCCCGGGACGTGCATCCCCCCCGGGACGTGCATCCCCCCGGGATGAGCATCCCCCGGGATGTGCATTCTCCCCCGGGATGTGCATCCCCCCCGGCCGGGACGTGCATTCTCCCCCGGGACGTGCATCCCCCCGGGATGAGCATCCCCCGGGATGTGCATTCTCCCCCGGGATGTGCATCCCCCCCGGACGTGCATCCCCCCGGGACGTGCATCCCTCCCCGGGATGAGCATCCCCCGGGATGCTGCAGGAGCAGCAGCCTCTCCAGCGGCGCTCCGGGCTGTTGCCCTCTGCTGGCACACATCCCACTCCCGGGCTCCTGCTTCAATCTGGCTTTAGAACATTGTTTTCCTTTAGTCTTCTGTACAAATCACAATTCCTACAAACAGTGGGTTTATTGCAACAATTTAATAATAACATTACCACCTTTAGGGCAACGACCCCTGCCCATCTTCACCCCCATGTGTGATTTCTGGGCCACGAGCCATTGCACTGCTCACCCACACAGCATTCCCCACCAGCTGGAAATGCTCTTCCTGCTGCCCTCCTGACTCTTTCCTGGAGCATCAGGCACGGATGTCACCCGCAGTCACCTATGTCAGAGGCACACACTTCCTGCCCTGCAGTCATAGTACATATTCATCAGAAATTTGCAGGAAGATTTTCACATTTATTTTATTGTTTAGAATTCAGAGCTCAAAATGAAAAGAAAATCAGGAAAAAAGCTGTATAAACAACTCTTGTGGGCACTGGAACAAAGGCAAAGGCCAGTATTCAGTTGCCTAAATGCTACCAAGTCTCTCTGCCTCCTTAGACTCTGCAGCTACTGAGTGTACAGTTCTTGCTACAGGCTCAGAAAAAGACTGAACTTGTAAAAAGTCTACTTTATGAATCAAAAAGTGGGATTTTTTTACCAAAATTTTTCTAATAAGATATCATTTTAATGTGATTATTCATTTTTAAAATACAATACTTAATTCTTCCTTATTACCTTCTGTAATAAGGGGAAATTATGCATATGCTTCATAAAGATGTATGGCTTAATTAATATTTGTATACTATAACTTAGAGAGAACTGCATAAAGAAAGCTATTCCCATTCAGAATCTCAACACCATAACCCAAGTCTCTTGTTACTGTTTTTCCCTGTACACTCATTTGTCTTGCTCTCTTCTTGGAATTTTTTTAAACATTTCATTTCTTGCTCTTTGCAAAAGCCAAGAAATACAGCCCACCACCCTCCTATTGTAACATAATGTGCTGCAGCATCAACACAAATGAGTGAAACTCACAGATGCTACACACAAAAATTTAGACAGGATTGTTTCTGCAGGCAGATTATTTTACCAGAACAGAAAAACCTGCCTCAGGCAGCATCTCTTCCTCACAGGTAACAGACAGGATTATCTTGCCTGGTATTTTCTGGTCAAAGCTCTTTTTCTGTTCAATATTCCATAGTTTATTCAGAGTGGGAACTGTATGTCAGGGGCTCAGCTCAGGTTTCTGTTCACTTACTCAACTTTTGTGGTGTGCTTTTCAGGGCTCAGCTTTCCCATCCTCTCATTCACACAGAGGTGCACCCTGTGAAAGAAAAAGCCACACTTTAAAAAGGCATTAGAGAGCGTGAGCCATCGGCTCGTTGCAACACTTTTGGCACAGAGCAGCTCCAGCAATAAAATAAGCCCAGCTCTTCCTTCTGAAGGTGATGTTTCCCAACTCCCTCTCATCTGACACCCCAATATATCAAAATCAAGAGCTCCCCGTTGCCACCACCTACACCCAAAGCCATTGTAGCATTTCCAAAACACTCTGGTGCTGATTCACCGCCAAGCTCACACCTCAAAGATTTAAAAGTAAAATCGATACCACACAGAGGAAGTTGAGGTTTTAACTGGTGCTGGGTGAGTAAAAGAAAATTCCCATAACATCTAAGTGATGTAATTTGAGAAAAAATAATTTGCCTGCATTTAAGACTGCTGAAAGTAATGGAGGGATGGGCCTAGGGAAACAGCACACTGACTGCAGGGGCTGGAGCTCCTTGTGCTGCTGGGCATTTCTCTTTTTCAGGACACACCTCCATAAAAGTAACAGTAGAAAGCTGGCACTACCCTTGCAGAATGCAGCTGCTAACCACCCTATGCAAGAGGCACGAGCAATGACAACTCCAAACATCCTGCAGCCCAGTTGGCATCTTGGGGGAGAAGTCCTGACCTTGCAATCAGGACTCAAAGGAGCTCCTTCCAATCAACAGAGCATCATTATTACAGCAGTGGTGCAAAGAAAACAAACAAGTCCAAATGAAATCTCACAATGAAGGACTTTGGCCAAATTTGTTACCCAGTAAATTTAAAAGATTACTAAAACCTGAAGAGGTACTAAATAAGCACAAGGAAAGAACTGGGGATTTAGCATCAGGAATCTTTCACAATGCTGTGACGCAGGCCAGGAAGAGCCAGTGAGCCTGAAAACAGAGGACAGCCCTTCTGAGGAGGGAGGGGATCTGGAGGATGAAATTGGGTAAACTATTTCAAAACACAGCTGGTAGTGCATGTATATAACAACAAGGTAAGCACAGCCACCCCCCAGGGCCATGCCCTGCCCATGCTGCAATTTGTTCATCAGGGTGTATGGCTGGGAGAGGGAGGCTTCCCACTGGAGCTGGGCTAGTGTGCAGTACAGAAAACAAGATTATTGATCCACAGAGAAAAAGTAAAAAGCACATGAACTTCCAGTCCCAAACTACTTGTGCATTTTACCTAGCACTGCTTTAATCCACACCTGCTGCAAACAGGTTCAGTATTCCTGGACTTTCTCCTTCCCAGGCAGTGCCTGCAGTGACTACACTCACGCTTCCTTCCCCCCAGGGTTCTGTGGAAAGCAAATTCTCTTACAAAAGTGGGAAAGTCCATTGTAAAGCTACAGAAAGCAACAAAAATTATAGAAATAACAGAAGAGACTGACATGCTGCTCATCTTTTGTATTGACTAGCTTACAGACTAACAGTGTGTTTTCGAAAGCATGGCTTTGCATGTCTTTAATTTCAAAGAGCATTCCCAGGAGAACAAGGCTTCTGTGAGACAAACCAGTTGGCAATTCCAGGGTACAAAGTAGCATTTGAAAAAATTATGTACTTTCAGATTCGTCAGCTCATTTTGCTTCTAAGGAATTTTTCTGCAATGTTAATCAGAGATTGGTACTTTGATGGTGGTGAGCAAATGTGCATCTTGACATATTTCCAGCCAGAAATGTAATTCTCTTCTAAATTGGCATAGATTCCTCACTGCATTACTCATGAAAAGAGGTATTTATAGTAGTTTGATGAATATAATATGCACCAAAATTGTACACAGCCATAGCCCAATTTTAATTTTTTTTAAAAAAGAAGAGCTATTCTTTCAAATCTGTGTACTTTCCATCTGCGAAAGCATTTGGGAATGAAACCCTAAGCATCATGCTAAGAGGGTTAATATCCAGATGCCTCAGACAGATGGCATTATTAGTCTGCCTGGGCCTGACATCTAGTTTTCCAAGTTAAGGAGCTTTGGTTCCTTGGATGGCTGACAATCTGAGAATAGCGCTGCTCTAAGCCTGACGTTTACTGTAACAACAACAGGCAACATTGCAGCTTTGCCTCAAAGACTTTTAGCAAAAAGAAGTTACACCAAGATTAACCATACTCAGAATGTACTTTAAAAAATGCTGTTGCAGCTTTAGGTTAGGACTCCTACTGGCAAAGGCTGAACCACAGAGAACAGTACTTGAATTTTGGTTTTTAAACTGGCTGTTTTTTTCCTTTTGCTACAGCCTAGACCTGAACTGTACCATCTCTCTAACTGTTCAGTCTATTCAACAGGTAATACAGGAAATAGAAAAATCTGAAGAATGTCTCTTCTGCAGTGAACTACAGCTTTACAGTTGTTCTTTCAGGGTTCCCACTACCCATTTCCCCAGAGAGATTTGTTTTTAAGGGGAATATAGTTTATAGGATTCAAACATTCTGAGAGCCATATGAACAAGAGGCATCAGTTCAAAAGTAACTTTTTCCACCCATTTATGTATAACAGAAATTGGCGAGAGTTCTGGGAGCAGAGAAGGTAAACAGACTAGGATTTGTCAAAGAGAACAGCAATGAGAAAAGCACCCAACTCCATCAGCCCCTTACAAGTCCTCATATACAGGTAAATAATACAAAATTCCCAGGAAAACACATAGAGCAGGAAGACTTTCATCTTGTAATGAGAAATGCACATCTGACACTCATCAGTAGTAATGCTTACATTACAGCACAAATAAATACTCATTAAAGGTAAGTGGAAGTAGAAGTAACATCTGTGTGTGTGTATAAATGCACATTCCAGAAATAACAGAGCAGTAATGCTTCAACAGGAGACCTAAAAAATGCCCATCAACAAAAGCAAACAGTGCTTGTTCAGGCTAGCTCAGAACCCTTGTGGTGTGCTTGCATTGTGAAATACATTTTCAAGTGAAGCAGGGATACAACTGTTTTATTCATTAAGAAATACAAAACTAACAAGCAGAAAACTCATCTTTAAGGGACACATACACCAGATAACAGAATCAGTTATGCAAAACATGTTAAATAACCCATTGTTTTGTAAAGTATGCCTCTGGCTAGTGTGAAAGACTGAAAATTGGTGTTACACTTTTAATCACCTAATATTAATCCCAGGTATTACCCATATAGAGTTTGAAAAACCACTGAAAATGCCTTCTTCTGAATAGCTCAGAAAGTAAAAGGTCTGTAACAACGTAGACCACATAAATGTGGTATAAACTGTTGACTACACAATAAATACTAATCCATAGTAGCTACAACAAGTCAAACAATCCTGATCTAAAGGTTTGGATAAGCTGCTTTCTATCAGAAACCCAACGCTCTCCCAGACTGTAGGAGCAAAACCCCATTCTCAGAAAACACACCGTGTTTTGTTCACTGTGTGCACATCAGAGGTGTGTCCTTCAGGCTATTTTTTAGGGATTAATGAACAATATAATGATTTAAGCCAAGCTTTTCATTTCAAAATAAACATTCTGGGGTATGTAGAGAAAGGAAGCTGCGCTCTTTTCACACTTGAATGGGAGGTTGAGGTCCTCAGCAGCACTCAGACCCTTTTTGGCAGCAGTGGCAATGCCGTGTTGGGATGGCAGTATCAGCTGACAGAGCAGGGTAATAAACCCCTTTTCTGACCTACACCATCCAATTAGACCTTCCAATGCTAAATGAAAGCAAAATTTGCTTTACAGGGATCTCAGTTGTGGGTGGGGGGGAGGAGGACACCATAAAGCATTTGAGAACTTTACATTTTTAGCCATTTTAAGTATTTCTGCTTCACAGGTCGTTAAGTCCACACGTGCAAAGTATCTGGTAGAGTTCAGGCACACCTCCCGTCAGTGCCCAGCCCTGCACACCCTCACCTCCCCACCGGGCTGAGCTCCTGGGACAGCGTGGGACTGCCAGAGCCAGTGGGAGCCTGCACTGCAGCTATTCTAACATTCAACACAAAAGCTTGCCCAGCCCTGGAGGAGAAGGATTGTTACACTACAGAAGCCTGCAGGACAAGACACAGCTTTTACTTTGCAAGTGTGTCACACCATCAGTGACCCACAGAGATTTACTGCCACGGAAGCTGTGTGAGCTGTCAGCACTGCTCTAAAGCACCTTTCCAGCTCCTGATGTTAAAACAAACACGTGGGGGAGGTGCTTCCACATGTCACTGCACTACATTTACAGGTGCTTAGCACGTTTCTTTTTAATGCAGTAGTAGTCAGTATTATGAAAGTTTAAATTAGGCTAGTTTTATTAGCCAAATAAAATTTACAAGTCAAGAACAAATTGTACTTTAGAGCAGACATGAACACCCATAACTATTAGAAAACTGTATGTACATCACAACGCACTGAGTTCAGTGACACTGCAGTCTGAAAAGTTTGGTTTTGGGAATTCCATTTTGGTCATGCAGACTACAAAAATAAAAGAACATCTGTGTTTTAAGAAAACTACCACATTTTTACTTTATTAAATGCCGAAAGCAAACTAATTGCTCTTATTTTCTATTTCTCACAGGTGACAACACAATGGAGCATTTGGTCCTGAACAGAAGGCCATTAACTTACTGAGATAATTTCAGACATAGGAACTTCAGAACTCAACTACAAACTAAGGAACAGCAAAGTTATTTTATTTCTATCTTTGTGACCTTCCTAAAGCAACTGTGAAGTCACGAACTTATTTACATGCCAGCCACACACCTTATTTCAGCTCAGTTCTTCCTATGCACCTCTATGCAGACAAATGCACCAGGCCTCAGAAAATCCATTAAATACCTTTAAACACAGGAGCAAAGCTTTATCAACAAACCTCTTATAACTAGGAACTGTTTTAGAAACTGTTTTATAGTCCAGGAGTCCTGAAGTCACTGCATCTTTAATGCCACCCCACACAGACCTGCACTTTTCTGTATTCCATGGTACAGCCTGGCATTGCTGCCCTTTCCCCGACCTGTGCTCACAGGATCCTCTCCAGTGTCACCTGCAGGGTCACAAGCCCTCCTTCCCAAGAG